ACATGCAAATTGCGAAATTGGTCATGCAAATTCATGCTAATTACGTGCTAATTATTGATAGTAAAAAAAATCAAATTTTCCTAATGGGCGGTGCTGGCGTAACGCACATAAAAACTTCGACATTTTTTTTTGTGTCCCTTTTGAACGAGGTACCCGGGGCGGACCACCCCCCACCACCCACCCCTCTATAGGTCCACCACTGAATATGTCTACTAGACCAATGGTCGCCTACCGGTGGTTCACAGAAAAATTTAAACGTTACTTACAGAATCTTTTTGTCATAATTTCCCCAAAAAATAAAACTGTAGACACGGTATTATGTGGATAATAGATCCATTTGCAGAAAACAATTAAAATAACAAGTTAAATATGACTGAAAAAAATACCTCATCGATTTATTTAACGGTATTTATGTAAAAAGCTATTTTAAGCTAAAAGTGGTCCGTAGAATTTAGAGTATGTATTTAGTAGTTCGTGAGGTCCAAAAGGTTTGCGACCGCTGTACTAGACTATTTATATAATAAAATATGCTATGAATAAAATATACTCGTATTATACAACTATAATTTATTTATTCATATATATAATTAACTCTTAATAATAAACATTGAACCATAAAATGAGAACCTTAAATCATTTTAATGAACTATTAAAGTACAATTAAATAAAATTAATGCAACCAGGTCAAAATCATTTTTTATTTTTTATTTTTTTTTTATTTAATTATTTATAAATAAGAATAAAGTACCATTAAAATATAACAAACGTTTAAAATAATTGTTAAGTTTTTTAAAACATTTCGGGGGGGGGGGGGTGTAGCCCACTAGACACCCCCTATATACGCCCTTGCTCCAATGCATGATTTCTTTTAATTTTGTTGCAATAATCGGTATGATTTGCGTCCCATAAAAGTTTTGTCACTTAATGTGCTTCAATAAATTGTAATATTTAATTTTCATCCATTATTAAGAACAACAAACACAATATAATTTAGAAATGTTTATAAACGGGATCCTTCGACACAAATTCGATTTGGTATTTCTGGAAGCAGGAAGGTTCTGTATTGAGGGTATACAGCTGCATACCATCTGCGTATGCCAATGAGTGATTATAAGTTCCGGTCCGTACGTATTTTCAGGTTAAAACTACACTAATACAGTGTTCAATGTCAGAGTTCAAGAAACAGGATATCAATGGAAAAATAAAAAATGGTAGCATTGATCATCATAGGCCTTTGTGAAACGATTGACTTGATAACGAAAATAACTAAACGTTTAATTATATTATACGTCGTTGAAAAATAGAACACAAATTCAATTTATGTAAGCAGTATTAGCCATAATTCACGATAAGTGCCTCGCAACGGCTTCACGGCGGAAATCTAATTTTATTTAAATTGATACATTTCTAGGGAACCGAGAAGTACTAATTCTGGCTGAGGCTTTTTATGTGATATCCGGCACTGTGCCGCGTGAAGAGGATATTTAATAATACAGTTGGAATCAGTAGCGTACATACGGGGGGGGGGGGGGGGGTCCCGGGTTCAAACTATCCTTAGGGTCAAAAAAAAAAATTGTTTTATTATTGATGACGTGTAATATATTCGTAGTTTCATTATTACGCTTTGAACTTAAAATATTATGATAATTAAATAATTATATTGATAGGTATTTGAAAAGTTTTGTTAACTATGTTGTTTTTATATTCCAATAGCTATTAATTTATTGTAATGTAAAAGTAAACTGTAAATTGGTAAAAAAGTTGTATAAAATAATATCTATTTATAGCAATTATTTATCTTATTTATCTGTGCAACAAAAAAAAAAAAAAGATAAAAATTATATTTGTTAACCCCCCCCCCCCAGAGCAAGATTGAATGTACACCACTGGTTGGAATAATACAACCTATGGAAGAAATTAATAATGTTTCGAATAGATAGAAATAAGAGCGAATGTTATGATTCTAACAATTATATACATTTCGCATTCCATTGTTGGAATAATGTAAGTAATGTAAAAAGCTGTGACATATTTTTTCCTTGTGAAAACCATTTTTCTTTTTTTCGAAACTTAAGAATCTCATCGCGATAATAACGATCTTAATGATACTAGTTTTAACTGATTCCATGTAATAGTAAATGTGCTTTAGAGTTCGTTCATCGTTCAATGAATGAAACTAACGAATTTCAATTTGAACGGATTTTTTGAACAACCTGATACAAACGAATCGTTCAAATGACCCGTTTTTCTCACCTCTAATTACATAAACTTAACTTAACATTAACTTAACGTAACATAATCATTGACTTGTATGTATATATGTTGTAAATTATTGGCAAGCAGGAAGAATAAATAATAAAAACACAAGAAAATATGTTCAGATAGTTTAATACTTTTTTTTTAAAATGTCATCAATCTTTTTTTTTTCTTTTGAACACAAACTTTTACCCTACTAGTTATTAAATATTGTATTATATAATAATAATAATAATTTACATAAATGATTCGCGTGTTACTAAATCGATAAATAAAGTATCTAATAAAATTGGAAATTTACGAATCAAACAATGAAATAAACACAATGGTGGACTTAATATTTTCAAAGTACAATAATTACAGCATGTCTCAACATAGTAGTTATGTTATGTTAAGCCTCAATTTGCATTACAGGTTATTTTTATTTAATTATAGATTTATAAATAGTTGACATGTGCAATTAGCAACTTTTTAACAAGTTATTCATTATCTACAAAATATAATAGATACATTCACAGACTTATTATAAGTTTTTTTTTACATTACAATATATATCGAACAATTGTTTTTTAATCATGTTGCACTAATTTTTACATAATTTGTATCTTATTGCTTCATAGAAGTTTTATTTAAATCACAGGTTTTGACATATATACTTTTAAAATATTACAAACCAAATCAGAAAAATAATAAAATATTAATATTGATAATAATAATAATAATAATAATAATTATGAACCATTTACAATATTTTTTGTTTTTGTGTACATGTTATGTGTATTAATATATTATGTACACAGTTAAATAATCATTAATAAAATAAAAAAAAAATATCAACAATTTATTAAAATGTCGATGTACATTTTATGTTCAAAATAAATAATATAAATAATATTTTAATTTACAAGTTAAAAAGATAATATTTAAACAATAGTTAAAGAGTATTTAGAACTTTAGAAATGAGTTTAGTAAGTATCTATAATATAATAATAAGAAAATTTTAAAAACCATTTAAAATAATGACAGAAATTATGAAATTCTGTTATTAAATACAAATATATATATATATGAGTTAATAGATATACGACTCAAATTATTGCAGAATTTTAATGATGAATAAATTATCCTATAACAAAAACTGTCCAATGTCTAATAATACATGAATACTCAACATTAAATGGGGGTCAAAATGTTAACAATAAACTCAGGTGAAATTCGTATAGTATAATGTAATATATAATTTAAATAACTAAATAATTTGCATACAAATTCAATATTAGTGCACATAGTATGTATAGTAAAGGTATTATGAAGAAACATCACTTATTACGTATACATAGTATTTTAGTAATTTAAAATTAATAATTTAACTTATTTTCATATTTCTAATGCGGCAAACAAAAATTTATTTATATGTAAGTTATCTGTACAACTTTATATTATTTATCTAATGTATAAGACATTTATAACATTGTTCATGAATAAATAAATACTATATTGTTTTAATACAAATCTTGCAGTATTTGAGAATATATTATACTTAAATTAATTATAATAATATGGTAAATAACGGTGAATAAAAAAAAAAGATTAGATATAAACAAACGTAAGGCCTAGCCACCACATTTAGTAGAACTGATTAGAGTTAAAATTAATGGTGTTGCACCTTACACTTTAGAATATAACTACATAGTTTTACATAAAAAATTTTTTTCAAATAAATTAAGATAACCTAAAAAACAACTTGACCTTTAAAAAGTGTTCATACAATACAGAATTGCTTAAAAAACTGGTCATCTTTAATCAGGTACAAATAATAACTTCTTTAAATTGTATGTGTTGTTATGTATGGAGAAAATACATCTGATAAATCTGTATACTGGCCAAATATTTCAGTGTTTATTGCTTGGTAACTCAAAGAGTTATAAATGTTTAATTGAAAAATATAACATACATATCATGATTGATACATAGTTTCAATTAAAACTTTTATACTGTATTCTAAATAATTTATTTCTCTTCAGTTATAAGCAAACAGCACACTTATTATGTAAACCATTTTAAAATATTAATATTATGGTTAGGTTACATTATGTATCATAATTATTTTATTTTTTATAATGATAATATAATATGTAAATGCTAACTACCAGACTATAGCGCTTATACTGTAAAGAAATAAATTGTTTAAAAATTAGTAATCCCCTAATTAATCAATTACTAAAAACTACAAATAATATGTAATAATTAATATAAACTGAACATAATTGTATAATTAAGTTTTTAAATTTTTATGTTTTTCTATTTTGTTAAAATTTTAAAATTTTTTTTTTTTTTTGTAATTTTTTCCCTTGACCCAAGGTAAGCTAAATATTATTTCAACCCATCATAATTTTACTAACTGATTATATTAGAAGCCAGCATAATTGATTTTTTTCATTTAATTAACAGCATTTACGATTATTGTTAGCGCCTGATGGTCGGACATTCTTGTCAGCTCTCCTCAGTCTTTTGTTACTGGCACTCAACATTAAATTTACACGGTTGAGATGTGTCAACTGATTGCGGCTTAATATACGAGTCTCCCTGTATGCTTGCAACTGTTAAAAATGTAAAATTAATTAATATAACATGTGGTTAAATTATGTCCTACCAATGCTTCAAAATCATAACTACTCATTAGTTATCTTACAATTTCAATGGGTATATACCATTATATTAATGTATATGTTATCAGACAGTACCTAATAAAAGACAATTAAATTAATTGTATAACGTATCTTACCTTCTGTGCTTTATTGGTGCCAGCAATCATTGCTAACTCTCTTTTCAGCAACTCATGTTTGTAAGCATTCTCTTCAGGTCGAGACACCAAAGAATTAAGTGCAATAGATGTAGTCAATGGTATGATGATATTCTCTTTTTTCACAGGTGATTTTTGTTCCCTCTTTTCAATCACTACATCACATTTTGGTCTCATTACTACAGCTTCAGAAACTGGATGGGACTCAATTTTCTCAATTTTGGCTTCTTTTACAACATACTTTTGTTGTACCTTCTTTTTCTTTTTTTCTTCTGTATCTAGAACTGCTGGCTTAATTGCATCAGTACAACTTGGTGATTGTTTGACCACTGCCTTCTGTTGTTTTTCAACAGTTTTGATGGAATTTTTTTTTGTTGTTTTGGAGTTTTTTGGCACATCTGACTGTATGATGCTAAAGGAACTCAATCTGATCAACCGTTCTTGAGCATACATTTTAGGAACAATTATTTCTTTTGGCATTTTTTGCGATTCATTTTTTAATAAATGAGGCAATGGACACGGAGGTTTGCGACCTTTCTTCATCACTTTTTTAGGTGTAAAGACTTTAACAGATGTCATTGTTTCCTCCAAAGGCAAAACTTCTACAGGTAAATCAACAACATCTTCAACCTGAGACTCGATCTTAACATGTTTTGTTTCAGAAACATCATTTTTTGGTTGTCTTCTTTTTAAAGAAGCTGCAACTTCTTTATAGCTACGGATAATTGGTGGTGAACAGACTCTAGGCTTAGAAATTGGTGCCAATATTGGAAACATTTCAGCTGGAGAACGCTCAACTTTTTTAATCTCAACAATAACAGGCGATGACATGTCTGATACTTCACCCAAAATTATTTCTGGTGCCATTTTAAACTCATCAAGGGGTACAGATTTCTTCATTGTTTTTTTCTTGGGATGTTTTGGTAACTTTCCTTTACATTTAACAGCTTCAAATATTATTGGTGTATCATCAACTAACGATTCACTGTTACTTGCAATTAAAGCTAGAGTTTTCTTCTCAGATATTACTGAACTCACAGTAGGACTGTGATACACAGACATGCTGGGATGTTCAATAAGAAGATTTTCCAAAGGTGTAGTTTCCATGTCTGCTGGACCAACAGATGTAAAACAGGGTGGAGGAGTAACAAACCAGCCTTCTTCATTTTGGCAGGAAGAAGATGAACGGCTATGGCGATCAACAGCACTTCCACATCCCTCATCATCAGTCTTCTTAGAATCCGCTTCAGATTCACCTATTTAATAAAAAAAATGTGTGAAAATATATAAATACAATAAAATTATTACTTAATTTACCTTTCCCTAGGATGACCCAATCATCAGATTCATCTATTTCAATGGGTTCGAAGTTTTCATCGACTTCAATTAAGGAGTCTGGGCAAGATTCTGTGACAAATTCATCATTTTTCTCGGTGACATTGCTTCCATAGAACCAGCTGGATAAGTTCGAAAACATTTTGGCTTACTAAAAACAAATTATAAGTTAAATAATATAAAATCAAACTCTATTTTCAGTAATGATAATAGGTACTATCAAAATATAGTAAGATTTGTAGTAGCATTGATTTTATAATAGAATTTAATCAAAATAATGGTAGTAGTATTGTTACTAGTACGATTTCAAGATAGCGTTATTATTTATTGATCATACCACTTAAAAATAGGTTATAATTTTGGGCTTATTTATGTTGACAACAAATATTTGATAAGGTACAACAATAATTATGATTAACAAAAAAACTAGTTTATTCGGCATAAGTTAAATACATTTTACATGTGTCAACCAAATTGTAAAACAAAAACAATGTGAAGGAACTATGACTATGAAATAGTTGATACAGTATGAGCATTATACCATTATTTATTAATTTATTATACAACGTGACTACGTGTCAATATATACATTCAATGTCAAGTTCAGTAAAAAAAAAAAAAAAAAATAGTTTTATATTTATATATATATATATAGTTATATTTTATTTACTCATTTCATTACGTGTTATGTTTATTATTATAATATTGTAACACGAACTCCAATTACACTCAATATATTTGTATAGGAAAGTAGCGACCTTGAACGTCATGAGTCTGGATTAAATTATGTTTTACCTACTCATTCTAAACAAGACTTTAACTTTATTATGACATAATGAAATATTACAAAATATAAAATAAAAATATCAATATTTATATTGATTATATTTATATTTATATAATAAAATGAATAATTTTTGTGTTATCTTATATAGTTGTTGAACATTGTTTATCAATCATACAGTAGCTAAAATAATAACAAAAATTAAAATTTATCACAAAAAACGTCAATTAACATTTTACCAAGAGATAAAGTATTCATTTAAATTAAAAGTTATCGCAGTATTGGTAACTTTTGTATAACCCTAAACATTAAAATATACAATCCCAGAAGATTAGATAGCTTAGAAGTGATATTAATTATAAATTATTTGTAATTATTTTATATAGTATACGCAATATCAACTACAATAAATATAATAAAATTCTTTTGAATTAATTTAATACAATTGTAGATGTATGTGTATGATAATATATATAAACAAAATAAGAAATTATAATTGCTTATAAAATTGTCCCCCACCTAATAATTTATATGATAATAATTTTCATACCTTTTTAGTTACTGTCGGATTGTGGCACAAATAGTTGTGGTCAATCAGGAACTGTAACAAAAATAAAATAAAACATATACATTTTGAAGGTTTATTTTTATCAAAAGTTATAAATTGCGTAAATTAAATAGTGAACATTTTCTATAATTAAAGTGAAAAAAAAAGTTTTGGCAAGTAAAAGCGAATAAAAATTAATAAACAAGAGAATTTTAACTCGTAAAAACAAATATACATATATGAAACATTTTTGAGCCAAGGGCAATGGCAGCCGAACTTTGCCAATACATTTTGCCAACACAAAGCAAAGCATCCCAATTCCTACTCCAATTAATCAAACAGCAAACATAAAAATCAATGAAATTTGAGAAAATAGGACATAAATCAATTTTTGTTCAATTTAAATTCTAGTTAATAAATGTAGTTTATTAATTTCATTAAAATCAGAAAATGATTTTAAGTATTGAAATGAATTAGATACTCAAAAAAATTACATCCCCTACGGATGATAAACAAAAAACTTCAACAAAATTACATTTTACAATTTGTTAAAAAAATATTACCATACATATTTTGAATTTTATAAATAATATTAATATATTTTTTACACAAAAACTAAATCGCATAGCAGAATACCTAATAAGTATAATAGTAAAAAAGACATCGATTTTTTTTGATACATAAAATATAATTACCTACGAGAGTACTATTACTAATTTAAAAAGCCGTTTGGATTCAGTTTTAAATATTATTTGAACAATAGTAAAATTTGACAAATATGAATTGTATTATACATATGAAATAATATTATATAATATCATACATGTGTATAAGTATAAATCGTCATTCTATACATTGACTAAAGAAAAAAACCGGTTAATGCATCATTCAACCTCTTTCATTTGGCCATATTTTCACTGTCCCACCTCAACATTCATCTTCATTTTTTTCATATTATTGTATAATATTTCAATTTTCAAACGACGCAGTAAATTTAAAAATAACCAGTTTTATTTTCCTCAGAAAGACAAATAAAGTATTCGGGTACGTTTTGTATAATTAAATTAAAATATTAATATTAAGTATAAAATAAATTTTAAAAAAAAAATAAAAATTAATTTATTTATTAATTAAATTTTAACTATTAATTAAATTACTAATTTTTTAGTATTAAGTATTAAGCACTATTGAGTAGTTATTTGATAAAATATGACACATTGCACACATTAAACCGATATATATATATATATATAATATGTATTTTATTACCTATAACTTACTAGTACACTATTTTTTACTATTATTTATTATTATTATTACATTTACTTTAAATATTCCATAAATATGTTTACATTGTATTTATTAATAATCGATTGCTTTATGATTGTGTAGTCCATAATCAAAATTTGTATTCTTAACATAATAATACAATATAATATCATAATGTAAATTTTCACTCAAAAAACCAATAATACAGTTATTATCGGCTAATAAGATAATTTGAACATTGAAATATTAACAATAGATCATTGTAGAATGTACGCGTTAAAAAATATACAGTAAAAATATTTAATAGAAAACTTTTAAACAAACCGTTGACAGAAAATAAATGATAAAAATTAATGTGCGTATTGTCATATTTTTCTACCATTTTTTTTGATGAAAATATTAATGTTTCTTTTACTATATAACAAAACAAGGCAATCTAGCCATTAGCGTCAAGGGCACCTACATCCCGATATGATTAGAATTTTAATGACTACCTAACGAATCATGGAAATATTTTAAGTGTTTATTAATTTCCCTATTCTATAAGTAAATTAATAACGTCTCGAAAGTCTGAATAAAGCTGTAATTTCAAAAATATTAAAAAAAAAAATTTATAAAGCGTTGATATAAACGTTAAAATCGACACACAACAATTCAAACGAGGTCATTATTTTTTCTTCGTACGTCATCCTTGATGAACCTCTTAAACCGCGATCGCCAGTTGTGCATCGACTCTACCTGCATCGAAGTAATATTGCATTCATGACATGCAATTTCAATTTATTGCACTCGGTTCTCTTTCTTCTTGAATTACAATATACATACGCACGCATTACAAAAAATGGTAATCACAATTTACGATATTATTACAACATTTTATATTCAGTATACGAACACGACAGCGGGTTATAAAAATGTATCTACTGGTTTTATTTTGTAGTTATTATAATTTTTTTTTTTTAATCATTATTATTTTTATTTTAATTTTTTTTTTTTTTTTTGACTCAAGTGGGAACATGGTCCAGCGGAGTGTAATTGCTATTACAATAACACAATAAAATACGACGACGAGAACTAACAATAATATATTTAGCATCCGAATAATAATTATCGTTAATACGATGCTGTTTCGAAAAACAATAACCTACGACGCTGCGTTATGAACGAGTGATTTAGTAGGACGGCGGTAAACAGTAATTACGAGAGTTCAATCTAATTTTGAAAGTAGAGGCGCGCATACGATTTGCAAGTCAAATAGCACATTTCGATTTTGTTGTAGCGAATTATGTTAGCACAACAATTTTCGGAACACAATGACCTCCGGATGTCCTACATTCGTGTCGTGTGTGTTTATATTATTATATCGAAAAGAAGGCGGTTGTGACCGTCAAAATTGTTATCATAAAACCCAAATCATATCGTAATTTTACACACGAAATGGAACAGAATCGAACGTTTTGCGTCATCCGCCACATAATAATCAGTATTTCAAACACTTTAAAATCTAGGATCTTTAGTACTTGTTTTCTTACACACCACAGTCGTACATATTAGTCATGTATAGAAAGAAGTATGTACCTACTACAGTTAACTATAGTATACTACTATAGTTCTCCCCACAACGGAACACTACGGGGATAATTTATATGTATAATATACGATGCGCGTATATGGTATAACACAATAACATAAAAGAAAAAAAAAATCGTTATGGAACAAAAGCAACGACGAAACAGCTGATCGCGTACGGAGTGGAGTGGGCGTCGGTGGGCGATCATTCAACGGGGGAAGGTGGGAACGATGAGCTGACGGGAACAAAGAAATTCGTGTGTGCGGAGTGTACGGCCGTTAACTACTAACCCCTTCTCCTTTCTTCGGAATTCTCCTCCGCTGAAACACTGCTAATCTCTATGTTTTGCAAACAAGAGGACAACAGAGCTGAGTGCAATGTTTTCGATCGCGAATCATAATTATAATGTCATCGTTTTAAGTACAGCACACGACCGTGACCAAAGAGAAAGAAAAACGGCAATCGTAAAATAAAATATAATATAGGTATTGAACAGAAGTCCGAGTACCGTCCCTACCGTCGCTACCGTGGAGATGACTCATATTAACAGTCCGGTGACCCTGAACATTCACCGCCGTAACAGTATGTGTTATACACACATATTTAAAATGTACACAAACGATAAAGAAAATAATAAACCAGATTACAAAGAGCCATTACAGCTGATCATTATTTATATTTAGTTTTATTCTGAGTCCTGTTAACACACTGCGCGAAGTATCCCTTCTATTCAATGTTCATTAATCCGTCCGATGACGATGTACTTGGAAAATAATTATGATCTAAGTAATGCATATATTTCTGTCGCGAATTAGTTAAACCATTCTGATAACGACGTATGAGTATTTTTGTACTCATTTTTCTATAAATAAAGCACCGATGTCCGCGCGAGAAAATTAAAATTTGTATCGAATTGATAGAAGACGCGTAATGTAAAATAATAAAATAAATAATTCAAGATCGCCAGCCAATGACACATTTAAAACAGTTACGAGTCTCTTTATTAAACATACACTACAAAATAATATAATATTTATAATACTGTCGTGTAAGTACACACTCAAAATATATTACACGAATGGGAGCGAAAGAATAAAGAACAAAGGACGGGAGGTACAAACTATACAGCGCAAAACGCTTATAAATCTTCATACTTGCTTCGACGGATCGCTCAAATAGTAACAGTCGCGCGCGTATATGAATATAAGCGACGATACGAAATGATTAAAACTAAAACTTTATGAACTACGCAAATAATAGTACTAACCTTTAGAATATGGCGTACAGCAGTAGTACCGATATGGTTTATTTATATGTACACAAGAGATCTTCGTAAACTATATACTTAAGGTAATAATAAATAATATAAATACGATGCAAAATAAAACTAACGTTATATTAAACTGCACAAAAAATAAATGTATTGATATTATACGTAATGTATAATAATATGTTTATATGTATATAGATTTTATTGATATTAATAAATAAAAACTATTAGAATTAAAATTAAAAATGTATATATAATATACAATCCGAAAACAATGATACAAAAACGAAAACAAAAAAATTAAAAATGGACCGACAACCAAAGCGAGAGACAGATGAAAGCCAGCTGATCGGGCTCTCCTCTTGGTTTTACAGGCCGACCAGCGACCCCTACCATTGGTCGTGGCGAGCTCGTCGGGGAACTGACGTCACACAAACTGCGTCGTATTGATCACCGCCGCAACACCATACACAACACAGAAGAGGTAGCCGAAACACACACACACACATCCGTGCACTCACACAATATTAAACTTATTTTATATTTTTCACACACACACACTTGTCCGATTAACATTCTCAGCGCGACATCAAACCGTCTCAACGTCGAACAGTTTGTTACAGTCTGTTTTATTTTTATAATTATTTATCATATTTAGATCAGCTCTCCGTATGTATGAGTGTACGACAAACGATCATTATTTGTAAATAAATTATAATTATCATAACACAACGTTGCACATGTTTTTTCTACATTATTATTATTTATAAATCTACAAGAATCAAATGATATAACAATTGACCATATAATAATGAAATGCACTCTGGCTATTATGTGTATGTGCATTTTTTTTCTGTTTATTTTATACTGCTGTTTTCAAGCTCGCACGTTAAAACAACGCAGCGGTCGTTCATTGTTGCGTCGTATCCGGGGCAATCCTATGCACTTGTTTTGTCATTTCACGTCCGACACCGTCCGTTCAGCGATCTTCTTTCTCTGAGCCGTAACTACAGTAAAAATCAATGGTGGTTCATCCCAAATATGGGCCCATGTGCAATAGTAAAAAAAGGGCCCCTTCACATTTTAATTCAAAATATTATAATTATAGTTAAAAAATATAATTATAGTTATTAAGTTCAAATTTAAAGTAAGTATTTTTATTCTAAAATAATAAAATCTTATAAAAATATAGGTACTATACTTTTTTATTGAAATTTAAATTATGTATAAAATAAGATGGAATTACATATAATAATAATAATAATAATAATAATAATAATAGTTCGATCGAAATTTCGTTTGCGTTCTTTTTTTTTCATCAAAATTATTAATTATTTTTTTTTCATTTAATTAATGTTCTCGATCAATTTCAATAAATAGAATTCCAAGTCCACTTAATTTTCTTTTTACTTTGTGCTCCGTAAATAGTTTTTTATTAATTTTAATTTTAAAACTGAACGTTCCGCTGTAGTAACTGTTACCTGGAGTGTTAAAAATATCATACACTGTACATATTTCAGAAAATGTTATTGTTAATGTGGTGTTCTCTATAACCAGTAATTCAGTAATTGCTTTTACCGATGTTCATTTTGTAATTTCTTATTTAAAACAAAATCTGAACGACAAAATTTGACCAGCAAGAGCATTAGTTAAATTAGCATTAATGTAATTTAAACTGGTAAAAAGTTCATTTAATGGTATTATTGGATTATCCAATGTTAAATAAAATATATTGATTTTAAATTGTTCTTTTGCTGAAATAAAAAAAAAATCACTGTATTTTTGAAGATTTATCACCGCAGAGTTAAGTAAAGAAACTTCTGTGCTCAGTTCTTGTTTAAGAAACTAAAGAACTTTTAGTATATTACATGTATTACATATAATAATATCGGATTATGGAATTACTAACAGCATGCATTTTATTTGACAAAATACCTGGTTCATTAATAGTTCACTCTTTTTTTGTTTCTTCATGGTGTTGTTGGAAAATATATCAATTTTCGTTATCCGTTTAATAGATCCTTTTCTTTGTTTTTTTATTTTGCGTTTTACAGCACCACTTGTAAATTTCAAAGTCATTATAATTATAATTTATAAAATAAAATATTTAATTTAGTTTGTCGTCTATTATTTTGTATTGACTTTGAACAATGACACACGAGACTACGAAAGTTATAAAATAATACCTCTTACTCAGTAAATACGTAGCGTTATTTTGTCGTGTAAATTCTTAGAGGTTTATATTATATGTATATTTTTTATATAATAATATAGCTATCGGTGTGGAGTAAGCGACAAAACGATTACGAAAAACCACTGACAACGTATTTTTATAAAAAAAATTTTAGTCACCCTAAATTGTTATTTATTTTGCAGAAGTAAAGATAATCAAATTTGATAAATGATTTATAACAATTATATATTGATATCAAATTGAGAACCATGAGAACAATCTTGTTACTTTTTCATAATTATATTTATTTAATTTTTTTTTTTTGCAATTTTAAGCAATCATGCCCCCTCCCTAGCCAAGAGCCCGTGGCATTTGCACTCATCACACACATGTATGACATGCCACTGGTAATAATGTACGCAAAACTGCGTCTCCTTCCTTTAACGAGTTTCATTACGGTGGTCCGTATGACCGTATCCATGACGACCGGGTAGCAGTATGATAAAAGCCACTGTCACGAAATCCAAGCGTTAGTTACGTTAGCACGTCCGCTCTTTGTTCGATACCACAATACGTGGTCTTCGCTGGCGTGTTACGAGTTACGGGATACATATTTTTATCACTATTATATTATGTATACATGAATACTATCTATCGTACGGTTCGTTAAGAGTTATCGTACTCGTTTTTGAAACCTAAATGTTTCAGGTATCGTAAATTCATGGGTAATAACTAGTTAATAAGTATACCCCCATACTCATTTCAAGAAACCACTTGTTGAGACATTTTTCAATGCCATTATTAATACAAATATATTTAGGCTTTTTTGTGTAGAGTCATTGGCAGAAACTGAATGTTTTCATATTTGCCTAACGGCCAATAACTGTTTCTTCTCCCCCTTTAACCTTAACAAAATAATGACTGTTACAAAATGCACATATGCATCATAAAATTCTATAGACAATTTAAAACGTTTTTACTAATGATTATTTAATTAATTTGCTTATTTAACTTGGTAATTCTTCTTTAAAAATTGTTAAAATAATCATTGTAATATACATAAAAATTATAGCTTTTCTTAGTTAATTTAAAATAATCAGTATCTATAGATAAAATAAATATATTTGATATTTTTTCATTTAATCGTACATGTAAGTCGTAATACTCGAAGTGGTAATGTAAAAGTGAATTGTTATCGTCGTATTAATAGATGCATGTTAAAAAATATTTAATTAAAAAAAAAAATTGTGTAATAAATTAACTTTTATAGGTAGTTATGATTTTTGTGTTTGCATATTTCTTGTAATCAACTCAAATTAATTACTATCAGTAATTAGCTAGCTCTTGCCACCTAAAATAAATGTAAATTGTATAGCCATGGTGCGCATGATAGAAATATATATATATATATATAAGGGTGTCACCGATTTCCACCAAAAATTAGCTTTCTGTTTTCCGCCAATACCATTTTCTACCAAATTAAAAAAACGTGTTTCCTTTTTCCGCCAATTATAAATTATAGGACTTTAAAGTTTGGGAACCCCTTAAAGTAAGTATTTAATGATATTCTTTTACCAATTAAAAAAATAACCAATACAAATGTATTATATTATTATGAATTTATGAAGGAATACCAAAAAATGAGTCTGTTGTAAAAAAAATTATATTACTCAATACTAATTACTAATTATAATAATAAATATAAAACATGTATTTGCATTGTTTTGATAACAATTTTTATTTAAACTTAATTTAGCATAATGTTTTGATATCAGTTTTAGGAAATCGTATCTACTTTTTTCATCTTTTTGGTATTTTAAAATTAATTCTTCATTTCGTCTACGATTATCAATAATATTTTTTCTCGGTGTTTTACATTCATTAATACTTTTTAAAGTAACATACATGTTCGTTTGAATATTTTCTATAAGTACAGTTATTCATGGTATTATATGTGGTGTTCGTTTATAAAAATTATCTTTGAATAAAGAATGAAAAGATTCACACGTGTTCGTTGTCCGAGTCAAACTTGCTGATAATGCAGCCCATAGTGATGTAGGGTAATTACAATCGTCTCCTATGTAATTATCTACCAAGTAGTCAGAGTATTTAGTTAATAAGTCATTATCAGGACGATCACTCATAAAATCATATGAAAAACAATCTGATACTTCCTGTGCATTAAGAAACAAAAGTCTAAAAGTGTGTCGTAACCATTTGCCAATTTCGGAATCATTATATTCGTTTGATAAACCAAGAGATTGCATTTTCCTCTACCATAAATTAGTCAAATTAAATCTACAACCAATTATGTTACTTTCCGGCCAAACTTCATTATCTGCATTTATAATAGCTTTTTTGTAATCAATAGTCACATTTGCTGGGGAAATAATCAAATTAATATCTTTGCATTTTTGACAAATAGATCGAAGAGCAAAAACATAGGAATATGTTAGTTTATTTGGTAATAAACAAAATACGAGTGGAACATAGTGGCCATTTTGGAATCTATGAATGGTAAACATTTGCATAAAAAAGCGTGTACAATAATCAAATGTTCCATCCATATAAATAGTATCTACCGATGACAAAAATTTTAAATTTGTGTAACACGAAAAAATAATTATATTTTCAATTTCATTATTTAATAGTAAGAAATTTTCTTTTTGTTTTGTTTCAATATTCATAGAATTCAAAGCCTGGTGTACTTCAGCAATGGATTTTGGATTTTCTGAGAGGGTTTTGCATACATATTTTTCCTAATTCTATTAATGTCTTTTACAGTTATTTCTTTAACATACTCATTATGTATTAATTCTTGTAAAATAATTTTTTTTGGTCGTGTACTTACGTCATTTAGTGCTTTTATTTTGCATGAAATAATAAAAATTCGCCGATTTATGGTATTTTCATTTACAGCTTTGTGATTGTGTTCATTTTCCATGTTCAATATT